CTCTCCAAGAAATCAAACCTTAAACCAAAATTAAAGGAAAGAAAATGATCACTCGACACTTAAATGCAAGCTCTTCCTTGGTTTACATAGGAACAAGCTCTTCAACTCCTATTAGGTTACTTTCCAGTTGCTTCCAAGGAACAGGAAATTTACGGCTAGAGACAAGAAAGTAATGAAATCCTTCTTGACTCCGATTACCAAGGAGATATGTCATCCTATACTCAGAAAATCAACAAACAACACTTTCTATAACTGTCTGCTTAAGAGTTTTAATGTTACTGGCAGGGAGACAGAGCAGTGGTTGCCTGACTACAGATATATCGTCATCCTCTCATGATCTCACCACCATTTAAACACTTCAGACTAAAAGGAATGCACCAAATCCACCTCAATGATCACTTTCCTTCTGATAATCGCCTAATCTAAAATGCTCCAATTCTAGTTTCCATGTCTGTGTTGCGTCTTCTATACATCTGAATTCTACTAGTTATTCCCAATTCAAAAGAAAGTAACTAGCAACAATAAGAGTTAGCTCACATTCACCATTCAAGCACTATCTCGTCAAAGTAGGAATGAAGTTGTTTCAACACGTTAACATTATGTTAGATGCAAATGTAAAGAGGTACACTGTTTTCAGTTACCATTTGGTATCCATCTAAGCAAATAGTTCAGAATCAATTACAAAACCCAAAATGTGGAAACCGTCCATATGAATGATTAAACAGACCAGCACATGCAATCTTTCTGTGATAATACCTGGGTATGATCTGAGGGATACTGCCTTTTCCTTCTCGTTTCAATTTCAGAGCTACCTGAATATTCTTCTCTGAAATCCGCAATCAATCTGCCAGATCCAGCGGTTGACAGCTTTCCCCATTGTTGATATTCTTTACCTGAGTCAAGTATTGATAGAAAGAACTGCGCGAGTTGTTTTTCTCCAGCCAAGGAATCGCTAATTGTACCTGAACTTGCAATAAGAAAATCTGGGCTCAGATCATCTAATCGGAAGTTCAATAATTTCTGCTAGCCCAATGCAAGATCACATGGGTGAACTACTTAGATTAGTTGACCAAAAAAAAAACCATTGTTAGAGCTAATTTATACAATATGCTCTAAGAAAAGAAAAAGAGACTTTTAATATAATCACAATCATACCAATCAAAGCTAGCTTGGAGCTGGTCTCAAAGTCGAAAATAGCCGGAGGCAAGACTCCTGGAGTGTCCAACACATAAACATTTGGATTGCTGGCAATCTGATGAAATCATGTTCCAATTGGTAGATGGCCGTTATCAACATAAGAACATTCCAAGTGAAGAAAAATGAGTATCAGTACCATAACACAGCAAGCATACAGAAACAAGTATTTCTAACTGTACCATAAAGGAGAGATCCGCGGCGCTCTTTCTTTAAAATTATCATTTCATATCCCAATATTAGGGTATAATGATGACAAGAGAGAAGGACAACACAGAATTTTAATCGGCCAATCACATAGTATTGACCATGCTCTGATAGCAGTTATCAATTCAAACCCCTCTATTCTTGATCTTGGCATGAACAATACCAAAAAGATAAAAAGCAATCAACACATGAATATCTAATGCTTACATATAATTTGGAAAGAAACCTAACATATGAAGCAAAAGATCTGTTTAACTTCTTCACTCCTCTACACACAGTTTCTAGAAAAGATAGCATATCTGAATGTGCATCTGCAGATGAAACAAGAAAAAACATTGATAGAACTTCAATGAAGGAAGATTAACTGCATACCTTCAAACTGCTAATATCTTTCGTCTCACATGGCTCTGAGCTCACTACTGCATGCTTCAACTTTCCTTTCTCTGTGAAGAAACTCATTTTGCATTATATTAGGATGCATTCACGTATTTATCAAGGAATGGCCCTGAGCAGAAAAGATATGGAGGTAGAGAGGGACGGCAGAAGAGTTATTCTGCTTCCAGTGTCCATGCAAACCATAAAAAGGGCAATTTGTGAAGGAATTAGATCTTGCATCAGATGCAATAAGAAGATTAGTACCTGCCGCGCTTATCCTGCCAATTTTATGCAACGAATTGGCGAGGGCAGACTTTCCAGTGTTAGGGATTCCGACTAACATAATTGCTGCAGTGCTGCTAGAATTATCCATCTTTTTCAACTCTCTTACTTTGGCTTGTAAGAAATTCAAAAACTGCAAGATGTCAGTCATCATCAACTACTGTTTGATAAAGTAAAAAAAAAATTATACATTCAAAAAAGGAAAAAGCTTTAACTAGAATTAGTATATATTAATTATGACTGGCTGCTGTCACAGTCCTTGTATACCCAGCCACTCAGATGGAAGACTTTATCGAAGTCCCACTTGTTCTGAAAGCTACACTGAGTTTTAAGTTGTATTTAGAAGGTAAAATTCTCTAAAACTCACTTGGTGCAAGAATGCTCCTGTCAATCCAGGAATAAATACAGGTAATAGTTTTTACCTGCTTAATATTTTCCCTATTATGGGAATTCACAGCAAAAGATTCGCAGTTTTGCAGCTCAAAGTACCTCATCCACTCCTATATATGAAACACAGCACTAAGTTACAAGGAGTTATCCAAAGTGAGAAGATAGAGTTTGGAAACAATAGATATTGCCAGTTTCTAAGTTGAATATTTGGAGGGAATACTGTGACACACAGAAACACGTCAGCTCACTATGTAACTCACCCCAGACACTAACACTAAGCATCAAAAAAGAATGACACAGCTAAATTTTCAACAGTAGCATATCGTAACTAAATTATCAACAATAATTCAGATGAGGCCAATCAGACTTCCTTATATTAAGACTGAATAAAGCATAAAAAGAGAAGGCGACTCACAAACTCAGAAAAAACTATGACCAGTGTCGATCAACAATTACGGTCACACGTTACGGATGCTCAGCATATATAAACTCAGAAGAAAGTTTAGATATGCAGTGTCACAGCTGTAACTTACCTCTAAAAATACACATCATCTATTGTCACGCATTAGAAACATTAAAGTCAGCTTTACACATACTAAGCCTCAAGCCATCCAAGAGCAAATGTCCATGCTTAGCTTAGCGACTGGAATAATGCAAATCAATCTTAAAAGTCTGAAAGATTAACCTCATCAAGATCAACCAACATGGGATACCAGGAGCCCCACCTTGGTACGAGAACTGTTCGCGAGGTCCATCTTGTTCAGCACCACAATTCGCCTGGATGGAGATGGGCAATTCTTCAGTAGCTCAAACTCAGATGACAACGGAACCTGGGCAACCAAAAGAGGGAAAGCAGCGGACTATAGAATCGCCTGACCCAATTAAAAAACATAAGAGAGAGACAGAGCACAGCACTCGTTTCATAAGCATTTCCGCACGGGAAAAAATTAAAAACATCGCTCCGATCTTCTCATCTTAAATGCCAACAAGAGAACGTGAGGACAAGCTGCCACTTCACAGAACCATTAACCGACAGGACTCACAAGTGAATATCCGTTGAGGCATTTCATCGAACAATCGGAGTTCACTCGCGTAACGGGGACAATAAGGAAAACGGACCAAAAGGGCCGATATGGTTACCCTGGCGTCCCTGACTTCGAGGACGAGATCGGCGAGGGGGAGGCGCTCCGCGATCGCGCGGGACGCGGTGGCCATGTGAGGGCCGTACCACCACGCGGACGCCCTGTTCTTGGAGGCTCTCTTGATCACCGTGCCTATCCGCTTCACCAGAGCAGCCGTCGCCGTCTCCATTGTCATTGCTTCTTCTTCTTCTTCTCCTTCTTCTTCTTCTTCTTTGTGTATTTTGAAAATCGGTTAGAAGCAACGGTCCGTGATTCTCAACGAGAGTGACGGTTGAAGTGCTTTTCAGTGACGAACGGTTTCTTCAAAATATCTGAGTCTTCTAAGTCTCGCATGGTAAAAACACTTTTTTGTCACTAATGCTCGAGAAATTTAAGGTTGTCCACCCCTCCCCTATTTTTTTTATTTCAAGGGATAACCACACAAGCGGGGTGTCTGAACTTTCGCACAATGTATAATTTGATCCATGAATTTTAGCCTAATGTTCAATGTGGTTCCTGAACATTTAATTTGTTCAACGTGGTCTCTGGACTTTTAGTCCATGAACTATATGAAAACGTTCGATATGGTTCCTGAACTTTTGGTATATGTTCAATGTAGTTCATGAACCATATGAAAATGTTCAATGTGATCATTGGACTTTATATGAAAATGTTCAGTGTAATCCCTGAACTTGAATTAATGGAAGGACTACATTGAACATTTTCATATAGTTTAGGGACTAAATCGAACATGTACCAAAAGTTCAAGGACTTTTTATTGAACAAATTAAAAGTTCAAGAACTACATTGCACATTGGGTTAAAGTTCAAGAATTACATTAAATAAATTAAAAGCTTATGGACCATGTTGTACATTGGACCAAAATTCAGGGACTGTTTGTGCCATTTTCCCATATTTCAAATTGACCGTGTACTTTTCAAATTTGGTCCACCGATTGTTCTAATGAGTATTTCGCCAACGATGGTAGTTCCGAGCAGGATACACAACTCCGAAGGAGGCAGAGTCTCGAAAATTCGGCTAGCATTTCGATCGGTGGACTTCCTTCTTGTTAGTTCCGGTATTAGCGTCGCCATTCGCCAATTTTCGGCAATTTTGCTGTGGTTTACATGACTTTCATACGTAAGTAAAGAGCACAATCTTTGTGGTGGACTTGTGAAGCGGGGTCCGCAGTTCCAAGCTTTCCATTCCGAGTTGTATTGGTTCGGTTTGGGTTAGTTCGGTTCGAGCCTGTAGCTTCATCAAACTATTTCGAACACCTTACCGCTCAAACGAAGAGCAATTTTGCACGCGACATAAATTTTCAATTCATCCCGAGGAATACGAAGAGACACCAGTATAGTGAAGTGCAATTAGTCCCGGACACAACATCATTCTTGCAAACTTTCTCATTCATGCGAATATCGACAAGGGTTACGAGGACCGAAACATTCATTAAACTGTAGTGAAGATCATCCTGCATAATAATTGGACGATCCATGAAATGAAGGCCGAGAAGCCAAAACAGACCGATATGTGGCTGGTGGAGATTCAACTCACAACACACAGCAAATCGAACGTAATTCATACCCAATTGCCCGGCACGATACGGCGTTAAGCCGCCCCCTAACTAGAAACCTGGCTACTCAACTCTTTACTATCATCTCGCACCTCATTCTCAGTGAAACTACTATATCCAGGAGAGAAGGAAACTGGAGGCGACAAAGTGAAAAACAAACCCCTAGAATGTCTTTCCGGAGCAATCTCCGTTTCCGACCCCCTCGCTGTATAGCACAAGTTGAAGCAGAGAGAAATGGCTTGGCACGTCGGGATTTAATCAACCGCGCCAGCTGTTCTGCTTCTTCACCTCAAAGGAAGCGCCGTCATTGAGCATGTCCTGTGCATCGGTTTCCATCTCGAGCTTCGAGAGGGCGAAAGCCTGCATATAGAAGGCGGTGGGCCACTCAGGCAAGCACACCTGAGCCTGCATCGCATCTCTCAGAGCAAGCTCCGGTTGGCCAATCATCAAGTACGAGAGTGCTCGCCTCACGAAAACAGTACCAGAAGGGACCGACATCATTGACACCAACTGTGTTTCAATCAAAGTGAACTAGCGTTGGTGCAGGCAGTTATAGGAAATTATTGAAGGGCGACGAAATAACAGAGATATTCATCAGACAATAGTTCCTAACATGAAAACATTTTGTCTGGTCAATATATAAAGTACATGGGAACTATTAGCAACTGGTATGGACGTAAATTTTGAATGCAAGCACATTCAAACAAACTAGGTCTAGGAATTATTAACTAGAACCTATTGCATGAAATCACAGCGCAGTCGATATTATGCTCACGTCAAAGTTGCTATGAGTGGAGTACCTTTGAGTAGTAATCAATCGCATTCTTGAAATCTTTGTCCCTAAAAGCAATATCTCCAAACTTCTTTGTGTTCAACATGTCTTGTACTTGCTGCGTCCATTCTTGGAACGAAAGCTTCACGAGAATCGCAGATAAACAATTACACCAGCCGAGTAACGCCAGAAACATGTAAATATGAGAGCTTTATCTAGAGCCACAAATAGACAGGTCATAAGCAAAAGCCATGACATAACGGGGATTTTGCAGAGACATCAATGTTTTCATGACCCAACACAAGGATTGGACCAAGAGGAAGGGACAAGTTTTAAAGTTACTATCTAGAATCTCTCAAAGAGATACCGAGGCAATCCAGCCCATAAAGGAACTAAGAGGCATCTTATTGCCTAAAGATACTCGTGGGACTGTTTCATTTTGCTTTTCACAGCAAATCATTTTGCTTCCACGCCATTTGTCCAGTCTCTCTCTCTTACTTCACATTTCATTTAGAAGACTATCGGGTATTTGGAACATGCACTATCAGCTCAAAGCTAGCTCGCCGTGGTTGGCTACATCAGGATACAAGTAGTGGATGATCACTGTGATTTAATATAAGTTCTGTGCGCTATATGGTTGTCTACCAGGTTAAAATGACAGAATGCTACAGCTCTAACTCACCTCATTTTCTGCACCTTCTTCATCCTTATAACCAGTCTTGAGCAGTATGTCGTGTACAGCTGTAAGGTCCATCCTAGCGCATGCCTTTCCAAGCGGCGATAGCATAGTTGGAAGCACTACAGGAGTTTTAGTTATACCCATAAGAACATGCGAAGCCACCTGATGGTAAAATGCACATATTAGCGAAGGAAAAGAGCTATCCATGAATAGAATCAAGAATTCCTGACAAATCTACAGCTCAATTAGTAGGAAGCCACTAAAATGGCACTTGAGATTCTGCACCTCTTTCTCCTTCTGGAGAGGCGCAACCGATGACAGGAGGAACTTGATGTCAGGCCTTTCTCTGGCCTCATACTGCAGACATTTTGAGGCTAGCTCAACCAATTCAGATGCATCTTCATTAACATATTGTCCTTCCAAGGATGAATCCATTAGCAATAAAGAATTTTTACCCCTTATCAAATCCAGAGCCTACAGTCACAAAAACATAACCGAATTGGTGAAAAGTCTAGTGTGAATTTTGCAACTGACACAGACTTGGGGAAAAGAACGCCAATTAGCATGTTGCAGTGCAGCTTCATTCCTTAAGCACAGACACAAAGTATTTGCATCATACATCAGTCCTTTCCCGCAAGATTTTAGGCCCTGTTGCCTGGATTTAACTCACTGAACTACCCAAATTCGGGAGAACCCTTGATCTGTCCATCCTCTATAATGAGGGTGATTTTCAATACACTCGGAGGAAATTAGATTTCCGGATAGAATAAAATATTGGAGCAAAACCGTCAAGGGTGATGCCCATAACTCCTCAGAAACCTAAGAAAGACAGTATGTCTGATAATGAAAAGATTTTGTATACAACTTAAGTATGGAATCCAGAGTCCTTACATGGCTTGGAGGGATATGCTTGCCACTCAAAAGATCCAGCAACACAGTCCCATAACTATAAATCACACTCTCGGGGATGACCCTTCCTGAAAATTGAAGCACCGACTTTCAGAAAGCAGCTATACAGAGAAGTTTCAACTCCAATTACTAAAAATAGATTACAATCATAACAGTTCTTTCAAGCATGACTCAAGGTTGAAAACGAAGACATAATAGAAGCCTAACGAATTATAAGCACAGAACCAAGAATCAAGAGCCTCACGTCTACCACTTGTCGTCAAGTCCTAAAAACTCTATTCCGATGTCTCCAAGGCCAATTCCATACCTTAGCAGATACATCCTTCAGACATAACAAGGCTTGCCTTATATTAGAAGAGATGCAACCACTTTCCACGTAGTATGTTGGCCCAAAGGGGACAAATATAGTCCTATAGACACTTAAAAAGCATCCCATGGCAATATCGGCTTCTGGAACTGCATAAATTCATGGGAAGAATGTAGATCCTTCTTCAAAGGTTTACCATAATATAATTATGTCATAGAAGTTCTATAACATGAAGTGTTCGAAGGTTATATTCATATCATATTCACACCAACCATGCTATGTCTTGCCCACATAGGAAAAGAAGCCTCACTAAGAAAATAGATGGCTTAATCATGCTTTTAACTGTAAAATGAATGACACTTTTGGATATCAGCAGACAAAGAGGACATTAGCTCAAATGATTTTTTCTTGTTCTTCTGCCAGCTAGGATTTTGGGGGGCAAGTTAGTAGATCTGACAACAATATTTGTTACTGGATAAGATAATAATCATCCAGAGATAAACAGTTCAACTGATTACTGATTAGACAATAAAATGGATTATATAGGAAGGGTGACTATGGTTTGCAAAGTCCAGGTTCTGACGTACAAAATTTCTATTTATTGACTATATCACAAAGAGAAATCATCTTTCAAATTTTAGCAAAGGACTGCAGACAAACTTAATTGTTTCTACCTTCTTCATCCTTATCATCTGCTATCAAGTATTTGTACAAGTCTGTAGCCTATTTCCCAGTAGTTAAAGGAGTTTGCACCTCCTTAGCGCCCTCACATGCAATCCATAATCAACTGATCAAGAAAACATACACAAAGAAGGACCAGCCACACTTACATCATACCTATGTACTATGTATCATCTTGAACAGAAACAGACCTGTCCGTAGCAATTCTGGTGGAGTGTAAGCTAAATTGGTACTGTAGGTTTTTCCATTCCAGCTGTTCTTAATAAGGCCAAAACTTGATAACCGACTTTCAAGTTATTTAGGAAAGGATTGCAAACAAACTTAATTATTTCTACCCTCTTCATCCTTGTCATCTGCTATCAAGTATTTGTACAAGTCTGTAGCCTATTTCCCAGTAGTTAAAGGAGTTTGCACCTCCTTAGCCCCTCACATGAAATTTATAATCAACTGATCAAGAAAACATACAGAAAGAATGACCAGACCAGCCACACTTACATCAAGCCTATGTACTATGTACCACCTAGAACAGACACAGACCTGTACGTAGAAATTCTGGTGGAGTGTAAGCTAAATTGGTACTGTAGCTTTTTCCATCCCGGCTGTTCTTCATAAGGCCAAAACTTGATAACCGAGGGTCACCATCCTGCAATAATAACAAATTCAGTTTCAAGGATAGTAGATAGTCCACAGCGGGACATCGTCTTTCCTCTAGAAGGAGGAAGCAAGAAAACAAAGACAAGTGAAATCTCATTTAGGATACAAATGCAACTATGGTATTAGTCATCCAGAAATGACATCTATATGTACAAATAAGCAAATCCACTTTCTTCCTGTCCCTTGTGAATGCTTTGCATCTAAACATATCAATTTATGAAAACCTCATCACCTTCTGTGGCCAACATACCTTTTAACAATCCAAAGTATGAGACAGAATTGCTTACATAAGAGAAAGTCAAACAGATACATATTATGTACAAAGTTTGGGATACTCGATTTCCTCATTATACAACCAATTTCGAAAGAAAAAAAATCCTTACAAACAAAAGCTTCAGGTTATTTTTGCGTAGAATACAAAGATCTTTTAGCATGTAGTAAATATCATGGAGTTCTGGTTGTCTACACAGATATTCATGGATAATATTATCCTGCAACTCAAGTTCCATCTAAAAATAGGCAAGATGATCTTTGGAAACCATCTTTGTTATCTAGACAAATACCTCATCAAAGAGAACTCTGTATGCATTCAAATCATGATAGATCTTCCGGTTTTCAGTATTGCAGTGGTCAAGTGCCTGTGCAATATAGTAAGCAACTCTAACCCGCATCTCCCAAGGCAATGGCTGCTTCTCCCCTGCAAAACGTGACAGATAAGATTGGAAAAGAGTTAAGAAAAGGCACACCAAGCTAAAATACAAATCCTTCAATACTGATTTGTCATTAAAGAAATGATAACAAGCATATTGGGCCCTGATGGACTTCTGAAATGAGACAACCAATTCTGCCTTCTTGGGAACATGAAATGTGCAATCCAATTAGCATGTTAGATAGTTCACTTCCTAAAATAGGATAAAAAATGTTAGTCTATCCACACTTCTTGTCTATGTTTGTGTCCCCAAACAGCCAACTTATCTACTTAACACAGACACATTTCTCATAGCTAGGATCTGAAAGATTCCCATTTTCCATGAAAATGCCACACTGGATTGTTTACCTTTATTACCATATCTCAGCTCTCAGAAATAACACCAGTCAAGATGGTAAGAGGCAACAGTTGCAAAATCTTGACGCCACAAACAATAAAGATGCTTAAATGATAGTTGGACGTGCGAAAAGCAGGAACAAGTCGTACAGTGAAACAGATGCTTGGATAGAGTATCATTTGGCATGTACTCTGCCACCAATAGGCGCTCATCCCCTTCAGCACAACACCCAATTAAATTCACCAACCTCTTATGCCGGACCTTGCCAACCCCAGATGCTTCTGTCTACACGAAACATAGAAAGACGATGAGAGCCACCAATGCCTAAATAGAAGGCGAATTCGACCAGTATTCTTCAGACAAATCCCCGTTTTGCTATCCAGGCAAGTTTTCATATTGACTAAGTTTGGGGAATTCCAAGTGCATAAGAAACACGAAACAAATGAATTTCAGCAAACCAAATAGATAATTTAGCCTATGAAGATTTCTTTTTCTTTTTTCTGCACAATAATCTAGACCACAACTAAAACAGAGGATTAACCATGTTTTCCATCCAAGAGGCCCAACCAGAAAAGAAAAAAGCAAAATGATAATAGAGAAGGGAAATCAAAGACATTACCACAAATTGTTGTGGATCAGGCCAAGATTGTTTGGAGAAACGTTTAATGGCAACGTATCGGTTGTTCCGGAGCTTCCCTCTGTAAACAACGTTGGGGGCCTTCTCTCCGCATTCTGAGACTATCAATTCACTGCTAAACCCATTTGTGGCGGCTCGGAGGTCCGTGAGCGGAAACTCTTTGAATGCAGGAACTTGGTCCTGGTCCACTTGCTCTATATTTGCTTCACTCAAACAAAATCAACCAGCACATATGAATAAGACACAACGGAATTAGCTAAGAACTCTTGTACGTACCTAGCTTAAAAAGAAACTCAAAAGGCCGATGCCCCTATTGGGAAATGAAAGCCAGTGTACTTAAAGTATGAAACTTCAATTTACAAGATCAAGAATTTTTTTGGCCCAACATCAATAAATGAACCAGAACCCCCCAACATCAATCACAGCAAGCAGAAGTATAAGCACTAAAGAGCACGGGAAAACCAAAAGCAGCTCGCTGAAGTGACCTTTCTCTGCTTGCCCAACAGACACCAACCTAAAGGTCTCTTTTTGGAATCTGGGTGGACGCTAAAATGTAGATCAAGCTGGACCATGAAACATCACCCATCCCATTGACAAGCATGCCACCCACATTAAAAAAAAAACCCGAGACATGCACATACATTTGTAGGCATCATTGCTGAAGATATAAGGCGAGAGGTTGAAGCAACATACCTGGATCTGGTTTGGGGTCAGCTTGAGAGGGTTCTTGGTCTGGTGAGGGATGATGAGTGGTCTTGGACTGAATACAGCCCATGGTTGAGTTCTCTCACATAGATGCAGAGTGAGAGAGAGAGAGAGAGAGAGAGAGAGAGAGAGAGAGAAGGAGAGGGAGGGAGAGGGAGGTAGTGAGTGATGGGTACTGCCTAAAAGGTGTGAACAGTGAGAGAGAGGGAGAGGGAGGTAGTGAGTGATGGGTACTGTCTAAAAGGTGTGAACAATGAGGGAGAAAGAGGGGGAAGTCAGAGAGAGAGAGAGAGAGAGAGAGAGAGAGAGAGAGAGGGAAGTCAAAGAGAGAGTCAGGCAGAATAGGGATGGCCACATGATAAGCTGAAGCTGTGCACGTGAAGAGGAAGAAGGGGCTGTTCCTATCCCTTCACTGCACAAGAACTTTCAAAAACCAACAAAAGTAGATTCACCCAAAAAGAAAGAAAAAACAGGAAGAACAAGCAAAAAAAAACGAGATAAAGGACTAAAGGTCATTGCTGCAGAAGTGCAAAATCTACTTTCCCCGGAATATGCTGCAGAAAGTCTTTGGTTTCAAGACTTTCTGGGGGTGTGATCTGATGGTGTGGGAAAGGAAAGGAAAGGAAAAGAAAATGGCTGGGAAAAGATTGGGAAAGAAAAATCTATAATGAATGGGCAATGATTGTGACTTTGCCAAAGCTGGGTTTGGTGCTCCTCTCTTGCTTTTTGTCATATTAGATAATACTAGATTCAGTGGAAGCAAATCTTTTCAAGTCAATTAAAGTCATTTGGCTTAGCCAAAGTTCCCTAATGTCAAAAAACTACAATGATTAAGAGAGCGTTATGGCTTATCATAGGCCAGCTCTGAGGTGTAAACATGAGAATGTCCATTTATAATCTTGGATGGAACACACAAGCTTTCTTCAAGGGCCCATTTCTTTCATGGTGGCACTGGGCTTTATACCTTGATGGAGGGAAAAAGGAGCTGAAAAAGGGGGACAGAGGATTCGTACCAGTCATGAAATCATAGAGCTGTACTCTTTGGTTTGTTGAGCATTGAATGATTGAAATTATTTTGTACCATATGTCTAGCCAGCTATAAAGGATAGAGCATAGCAAATTAGAAATATTTCAAACCCGTTGTCAAGGTATAATAAAGCGTTCAAATCGGTCACTCGTTTGACATCAAATCATGAATAAATGAAAAATATGATCACGGTTCACTCCATAAGTGTTCTATTTTTGCTTTTGCTTTTCTGCCTTTAGAAGAACCCTAATTAAATTGTGCTCCAACAATGTTCAAGGTAAGCATTATGTTGTTCGAGCTCATTTCGGGAGATCATAGTTATTCATATCATACTTATTTCCACAAGGAACTAAATTTATATCTAAACGAAAGAAAATATCATCGCCAACGTTCACATATAACGCTATCACAATGTAAACTTCTTAAACTTGCAATTATTTACTTTTAATAAAATATGGACACGCCTATTCATGTGTCAAGAGAGACGTTGGTATACATTTTTACCTTATTAACGTTTATAACGAGTTAGAAAACTTATAACCACTATGGCATCTAGTAAAAAATTTCATTGACGAAAATTACCCCGAGTTTTTTAATTAACAGGAAAAAAATATTGAGCTTTGCAAGTTAGTAGCAGGCACCCTAAAAATATTAATACCATATTGGCCCGAAAAATATTACTTAAATTCCATTTTATTGGATCTTGATTTATATCCAGAATTATGCATATGTTTCGATCCCTTTTTTATGTTTCTACAGTGTATTTCGATTCGCCCACGTTATTTCCTTCTCTATGGATTTGTCGGTGATTTTTATTTTTTTTTTTTTTTGGTGAATGGTATTGGTCTATATCTGATAACCATGATGAAATTTTGTTCATTTCTTGAGTTCTTTTGCCCTAATTTGTGCACATTTCTGTGCCTCACAAATTGGTATTATGTTGTTGGTGATGAGACTGAAGCTTTGCTGGGAACTCACTGGATTAAGGTGGAATTGGAGGTGGTGATCGGGCCAGGATGGGCTGGCTCTTCCTGGTCAGATTCCGGGCGGGCTTGGCCGCCGAGGTGGGCCCGGGTTTTTCCGGCTCAGGCTAAGCCATGTGTAAGCGACGGATAGGTTGCCCCAGATCAGAGCCAGCCCGAACCCGCCCGATGATCAGGTCTAGCTCCCCCGCCCCATGGATTTGTCCCTGCTTATGCACATGTGATTTTACCAAGATAGGTGTTAATATTTTTTCGACTCGAAATGTTCTCGAGCAGGACATCTTCCTGGGTTCAATGAGGCGTATCGTCAGTCACATGAGATATTGTGTTTAATCGTGCTCTGGGTCGAGAAAACAAACCAGTCAAGTTCATTGTTCACATTGATATCTTTCACTTTATTTCGAGTCAAATATGGGTAGTAAATTAGGTCAAAACAACCTAGTTCGACTGGACATCTAAGTCATCTTCTTCGTTTGATTAGACATTTAAGATTCCAAATATTCGGGTCAGGTCGGTTCATGCTTTTTTGATAGTCCTACTAGCTCCGGTTGTTCTTGAGTATACACTATGTCTAGTCGAGTCATAAACAAGACCTTAAAAGGTTTCATCTCATATCTCGTTCAGGCTCGGAATTCCTGAAATGTAAAACTTTTAAGGGAAAAAACCACCAAAAACCCCAAACTTTGCCATCTGTGACACATTTACCCCGAACTTTTTTTTGTGACACCAAAAACCCCGAACTTTGCTTTTTGTGACACATTTACCCCAATGTATTTAGTCCATGGGCATTTTCGTCTTTTCTGCTTTTTCTTTTTTTTTTTTTTTTTTTTCCCTTTCCGGTGAGGGCCTCGGGCGGCTCGCCGGCGTCGGCGGTCGCCTCGCGCGGATCGCCGCTCGGCGAGGGACCCTCGCCGGCGTCGGAGGTCGACCTCGCGAGGGTGGCCCTCGCTCGCCGATCCGGCGAGGCGCAGGTCGCCCGCCCTCGGCGAGTCGACCTCGCGGCGAGGTCGAGCCCGCCGCAGCGAGGCGCCTCGGTGCGGGGCGACCCGCGCGCGCGGTCGCCCGTCTGGCGAGGTCGACCCTCGCCGTCTGGCGTCGACCGCGGCGCGGGGGCGGCCCTCGCCAAATCCGGCGCAGGAGGCCCTCGCCCAGGCTCGGGCGAGGTCGACCCTCGCCGGCGTCGGGCGAGGGTCGACCTCGCTCGAGTCGGGCGAGGGCCGCCCTCGCTCGCCCAGGCGAGGGCGGACCTCGCCCGACGCCGGCGAGGGCCGCCCTCGCCGGATCCGGCGAGGGCCACCCTCGCTCGACGCCGGCGAGGGCCCCCCTCGCCGGATCCGGCGAGGCCGACGCCGGCGAGGCCCCCCCCCGCGCCGGAAAGGGAAAAAAAAAAAGAAAAAGCAGAAAAAACGAAAATGCCCATGGACTAAATACATTGGGGTAAATGTGTCACAAAAAGCAAAGTTCGGGATTTTTGGTGTCACAAAAAAAAGTTCGGGGTAAATGTGTCACAGATGGCAAAGTTTGGGATTTTTGGTGGTTTTTTCCCAACTTTTAAAGAGTATTATGAAAAATTAGAAGTGCAAGGAGTGCAGGCACCGGTTCGTTAAAATAAGAAATTCATCCGTGGAGCTCACCCCACAAAGTGGAAATAAATTGCCGAGACTCGGGTAAGAGCGAAAGCTCTCTTCATTTGATGAGGTTAAATCGGATCGGGCCGGGTCGGTCTGTGCTTTTTTTACGCTCCTACGAATTCTGGTTGTTCTTCTTGAGTTTACATTAATTCTTCTTGGGTCTGAACTTCGTCTAGTCAACAATCATTTTGAGGTTGACCCAATTCTTTGAATGTCTTCTGATTGGCTATGATTTTGCATGGAGGAAGCTTCCCTTGGAAGTTGAATTCCTCTTTCGTTGTCGCATCACTCACAAGTCCCAGAGCACCTTTTTTAGGTCATGATAAGGAACATCAACAAAGCAAGGCCAAACTCTCATGTCCGCCGTTCATTTCCTTCTCGTCTTGCCTGTAGAATTTCGCGAATGAACTTTAAATTGTGAACTTTCCATTCTTTGCAATATACACATTTATTTGAGTAATCGAAAGTGAATGATTTTTCCATGTTGGCCTTCCTCATAATACATATTCAATAGCTAGTGAGTCTCTTCATTTGCAAACATGCCCTATGAATAGGCCATCTATCTTGCATCTTCAACACGGTAAATTATCCCGAAATTCTATCTTCCAATTACGTTCTCTCGTATTCTGGGTGCTAAACATCTTGATCTTATTCCGCCAAAGAAATTCTGGTGAGGTTTAAGCTTGAAGATATTGGTGATCTTGGAGGGTACGGATTAAAGAAAAATCGCACGGCAAAAAGTAAGGGTGTTGAATCCCCTAAATAAAATCAATATTGTTATAATGCTAGAATTATGCTAGAAATTAAATGAAAATAGCTGCTACCCTGCCATCTTTTGTTTAAATTTTTTGTCAATAAATAGGCTTTCGTAATGCCGAAATTGACCTCTAGAATTAAAAAAATATATTATAATTGTATAGTTTTTATTCTACTGAAATAACTCTAGGAAATTTTATATTTTCTCTCGGCTGTTGTTATTAGACTATTAGCATGTCATGATTTTCCAAAATAACTTTAAAAAGGTTTTCTCCTAAAAGATATTTTCATCTTTCAACACCCTTATTATATATGGCCAAAAAGGACGAAGACATGACTCCTTCAATTTCAAAACTAAGCATGCACCATCTTATTATAATTTATTGGTTAATTCAGTTGCATACAACGTCACAATTTAGGACTCATGCATATTGGTATATGTTATTGCATATATTCAAAACACAAGCACACATGGAGCACGAAGTCATACCATGGTGTAAAATGACAAAGGAATGTCCCGATCACATCTCCAGAAAAATCAAAGTGCATCAATTATTTTACGGTATTACCTAATAATAGCATTCAAAGAACTAAATTGAAAAATGTGATACCAAAGAGCGTTGTGGGGACGCTAACCCCTCCCCACATGTAACGAAACCCCCGGACCTCTAGCTTCTCCCGTTTTTCGCAAATAGCCAATGCTTTTACATGTGCATCTAGGTGTCCAATTAGCATATTTTTCTTAAAT